TGATCAAGGCAACTCGCCAGGGCAAAGTTGCTGGGCGGGCTGTTGTGGATGCGCGGGGCTTGAAGAGGTCGTTGCGGGTTCAGACGGCATGCAAAAATCCGCCGCCGCGCTTGTGCGGCATTGGTTTGTTCAGTAAACGTGGTTTAGGTCGCGGGTGGGTCGCGGGCTCTCCACCTCCACCTGGAAGGAATGCGAAAGCAGCCCGCCGCAGGCGCCGAAAGAATTGGTTTGTATGCCCGCCGCAGGCGCCGAAAAATTGGTTTGTACCCTGAACGTGGTCGCGGGTGGGCCGCGGGTTCTCCACCTGAAACGAATTCAAAAGATGCCCGCCGCAGGCGCCGAAAAATGTGGTTTGCATCCTGAACGTGGTTTGGGTCGCGAGTTGGTCGCGGGGTGGGTCGCGGGCTCTCCACCTGGAAGGAAAACAAAACAAGCCCGCCGCAGGCGCCGAAAATTGTGGTTTGTACCTTGAACGTGGTTTGGGTCGAAGGTGGGTCGCGGGTGGGTCGCGGGGTGGGTCGCGGGTGGGTCGGGTGGGTCGCGGTGGGTCGCGGGTGGGTCGCGGGTGGGTCGCGGGGTGGGCCGCGGGCGGGTCGCGGGGTGGGTCGCGGGTGGGTCGCGGGTGGGTCGCGGGTGGGTCGCGGGGTGTGTCGTGGGGTGGGTCGCGGGGTGGGTCGCGGGTGGGTCGCGGGTGGGTCGCGGGTGGGTCGCGGGGTGTCGCGGGGTGGGTCGCGTGTGGGTCGCGGGTGGGTCGCGGGTGGGTCGCGGGGTGGGTCGCGGGGTGGGTCGCGGGTGGGTCGCGGGGCGGGCTGCGGGTGAGACGACGGCAACAAACAACAACAACAACAACAACAACAACAACAACAACAACAACAACAACAACAACAACAATCATTTAAGACTGGGGACACTCCGTTCTCACCAGTGCCAGGGTTTTCATAGGAGGCGGGCAATACCCCCACTTTGTGGGGGGGCCGGTTCAAGCTCTACCAAATTTCCAAACGACTCTTCGCCACCACCCACACCCAGCTTCCCGCCCTATGACGTTCGGACACTTCACTTCGTGGCATGCGGACGACCGTGGCTACTATTCAGGGCCCCGCGGCCGACGACGACGGCGTGCGCGCGCGAAGAAAAAACGAATGTGTCCCGCATGGTATTATTTGACAGGGATGATGGCCCTGGCAGGTGCGCAACCGTTGTCGCAGAAGTTCGAAAAAGTTGCTCGCAAAAGCCCGTTTGACAGAAATGTTAAAAAGTGTTGGGTTTCCTACGAATCCGCAAGAGCGCGCGGGATGAGATTTTGACATTTTTTTGTTGAAAAACCATTGGTTTTTTGATGTTTTTATGTTAAAATCGCTCCGAACACTAAGCTTTTGGAAGGATTTCGTCTTGCGCGCGCGAATGTCCACTTTACCTTATTTTTTGCAAGGGATTCTTGAAATTTGATTATATTAGAACAAGAAATGTCATTTTATAGTGTTTTTTGCAAGGGAAAGCGGGGGGACAACAAAACAACCGGATCTTGATCACATCGAATTACCTGAGGCTTCCTCACGAAAATGATGAAAATGTAGCTGCGGCCTAGGCGGCGCAGGGGGGCCGTGCACCAGGGGTCCCAACAATAATTATTCTTTAGAATTAATAATGTTCAACAACAACAATCACTTTACCCGAACGCTCAGTGTTCTCACCAGTGCCAGGGTTTTCATGCGACGCCAGCCAATACCCCCACTTTGTGGGGGGGCAGTGCAAGCTCTACCAAATATCCACACGACTCTTCGCCACCACCCACACCCAGCTTCCCGCCCTATGACGTTCGGACACTTCACTTCGTGGCCTGCGGACGACCGTGGCTACTACACTGGCGTGGAGTACACACCCACAGAAGTTGTTAAGCCTACGTTCGTACACCCACAGAAGTTGTTAAGCCTTGTTAACCCACAGAAGTTGTTAAGCCTTCCACAGAACATCTGTTGCATATGATGCATATGGTACATGATACACATGATACACATGATACGTACTCACATTCCGGCGTGCGCGCGCGAAGAAAAAACGAATGTGTCCCGCATGGTATTATTTGACAGGGATGATGGCCCTGGCAGGTGCGCAACCGTTGTCGCAGAAGTTCGAAAAAGTTGCTCGCAAAAGCCCGTTTGACAGAAATGTTTAAAAAGTGTTGGGTTTCCTACGAATCCGCAAGAGCGCGCGGGATGAGATTTTGACATTTTTTTGTTGAAAAACCATTGGTTTTTTGATGTTTTTATGTTAAAATCGCTCCGAACACTAAGCTTTTGGAAGGATTTCGTCTTGCGCGCGCGAATGTCCACTTTACCTTATTTTTTGCAAGGGATTCTTGAAATTTGATTATATTAGAACAAGAAATGTCATTTTATAGTGTTTTTTGCAAGGGAAAGCGGGGGGGAACAAAACAACCGGATCTTGATCACATCGAATTACCTGAGGCTTCCTCACGAAAATGATGAAAATGTAGCTGCGGCCTAGGCGGCGCAGGGGGGCCGTGCACCAGGGGTCCCAACAATAATTATTCTTTAGAATTAATAATGTTCAACAAACAACAAACAACAAACAACAAACAACAAACAACAACAAACAACAACAAACAACAACAAACAACAACGCACAACAACAAACAACAACCAACAACAAACAACAACAACAACAACAACAAACAACAACAATCACAACAACAACAACAACAACAACAGCAACAACAACAACAACGAGAATCCGCACCGCGGAATCCCATTTCAGCCACGCACCCAGGGACAGTGAATGACCGTTCGGCCCCCTCACTCTGAGATGTATGTATGTATATATATATATATAAAACGCCACCCACTCCCCACTAATCATGTCCGTGCACGCACCCCCATCATCATCATCATCATCATCATCATCATCATCATCATCATCATCATCAGCATCATCATCATCATCATCATCATCATCATCATCATCATCATCATCATCATCATCATCATCATCATCATCATCATCATCATCATCTCATCACCATCACCATCATCATCATCATCATCATCATCATCATCATCATCATCATCATCATCATCATCATCATCATCATCATCATCATCATCATCATCATCACCATCACCATCACCATCATCATCATCATCATCATCATCAACATCAACATCATCATCAACATCCTCCTCCTGCTCATCATGATCATCAGCAGCAGCAACCGCAGCATTATCATCATCATCATCAGCATCATCATCCTCATCATCATCATCATCATCATCATCATCATCATCATCATCATCATCTTCCTCATCCTCATCCTCATCATCACCATCATCACCCTCATCATCATCATCATCATCATCATCATCATCGTCATCGTCATCATCATCGTCATGGTCATCATCATCGTCATCAACATCATCATCATCATCATCATCATCAGCATCATCATCAGTATTAGCATCATCAGCAGCAGCAGCATCATCAGCATCATCATCGACATCATCATCATAATCACCACTGATCATCACCATCATCATTCATCATCATCAGCATCATCGCATCATCATCATCATCCTCGTCCTCATCCTCAACATCATCATCATCCTCATCACCATCATCATCACCACCATCATCATCATCCCTCCCTTCCTGCCTCCCTCCCTCTCACCCTCCCTCCCCACCTACCTCCCCCTCCCCCTCCTCACCCCCCCTTCTCACCCCACATCCCTCCTCCGCCTCCGCGGCAGCAGCCTCGTTCCTCGTGGAGGAGAAGAGGTCGATGAGGAGGACTGTATGACTGAAGGACAGAAACATTACCCACTTCGCGTCACGCACGCTGGGGCTCGTGACACCCAGTGCCCCGCCGCCGCCCGTCGCCGCACCATTTGGACACGATTCTGATTGTGCGAGGCTCGCAACTGGGGCTGTGCGCCGGTCTGGCTGGCCTGTGGCCGCCCGTCGCCATGCGTCGCCGCCGTCTGGCGCCGCACCATTGTGGTCGCTCGCACTTGGCAGTGGTGCGCATTGCTTCACATTGCTTTGCACTGTTCTGCATTGCTCCGCGTTGCTGGGCATTGGTCTGTGTGGCTTTGCATTGCTTCCTCTTGGATTAAATTTCTTCGCATTGCTGTACATCTGTTTGCATCGCATTGTATGCGTTGCATTGCGTCGCATTGCATTGGCTTGCGTTGCTTTGCCTAGCCTTATATTGACTGATATGTTTTGCGTTGGTTTGTATTGTTTTGCATTGAATTGCATTGTTTCCGCATTGCACTACGTAGCTCGCAGCACATCGATTGCATCGCATAGCTTACATCACATCTAGTGCACCATATCAAATGCATCAAATGGATTGCAGAACATGATTAGACTGCCCACACAGATTGCGAAAAACATCGATCGCACCACATAGCGCCTCATCGATCGCACCACATAGCGCCTCATCGATCGCACCACATAGCGTACACCTCGTGTATTGCACCACGTAACTCACACCACACAGATCTCGCCACATAAACACACCACAAACAGTGTTGGCTGCCAGTACAAACTGCACCACATAACTTGCACACGGTAGATTGCTTGTTTGGGGGGAGGGAGAATCACAGGGGGAGAGAGAAGATGGGTGGAGGGACTGCATCACGTAGACTGCACCACAGTAATAGCATCATACACGGTGCTAGAACACACAGTTTGGAGTCCAGGCTGGCTAACATGTTCTAGACAATTGCAATAACGACTAGCATGACGACGACAACGAGAACGACGACAACGACGACGACGACGACTGTCTTCCCAGAAACATCCAAGAAACCTCGGCCCTCAGTCCTCCGTCATCGACGACCACGACGACGACGACAACGACGACGACGATGACGGCAGCGGCGGCGGCGACAACGACACCGACGGCGACGAAAACGGCGACGACCACAACGGCGACGGCGGCTGTGATGGCGGCGGCGAGGACGACGGCGACGACGGTCCTCGAGCCGCGCCTTGATCTTGGCCGCCAGGCCGCCCTGGGCCAGCCGGGCCGCACGCCCGCACACACAGCACGCGACTGAAGCTCCGCAGGGCGCCGCCAACGCCAGCGTCATCGGCGTCGCCGTAGACGTCGCCGTCGGCGTCGGCCAACAACATAATTTGGTGACACGCCACTGTCCGTTGTAAAGACAGGGTGCGAGCCCCGGAAGAAGCACTGCAATGGAAAAACGCAAGGGTTACCACGCTGCGAGGATCAACAATAACTATCATTTGGAAGTGGGAACTCCACCACAACAGAAGCAACAACAACAACAACAACAACAACAACAACAACAACAACAAGGCATCCTCGCCTATGTGCGCCCGTCCCCAGGGGCACAGGAGTCCGGTCACTGCATTCGTGAAACAGGATTCCTGTCCCCCTCCCCACCCGCGGGGGGGGGGGAGGGCGAGCAGCCAGCAGCCAGCATCCAGCACTCATACAAACAACGAACTCAGGAATCCATTGGAACCCAAATAAGGGCCAATGCGGCCCTGCCTTCGCCAAGCGCTCGCGCGGTGGCGAAGCGACGCCGGTGGTTACCTCCCGCCGGTGGCGAAGCGACGCCGGTGTCTTCCTTACCTGCCGCGTCTAATTGGTGCAGCCCCTGGAAAAGGGGAAGAGAGGACGGATGGAAGAGGGAGGGAGAAGGACGGAGCACAGGATTAGGAGGAGGCGGGCTAGGAGCAGAAAGCGAGGGCGCGCTTGGGGCCTGTGGGCTGTGTTGGGAGGCCTCAGTGGGCAGCACGCGGGGGGCTCCAGGGGCGCGCTTGGGGCCTCTGTGGGCTGGGGCCTCTGGGCTGTGTCGGGGGACCTCACTGGGCAGCGTGCTGGGGCATCCGTGGGCGCGCTTGGGGTTTCTGTGGGCTGGGGGCCTCTGTGGGCTGTATGGGGGGCCTCAGTGGGCAGAGCGCTGGGGCCTCTGTGGACGCGCTTGGGGCCTCTGTAGTCTGGGGCCTGTGGGCGCGCCTGGGGCCTCTGTCGGCTATCGGGGGCCTCAATGGGCAGCGGGCTGGGGCCACCGTGGGCGCGCTTGGCGTCTCTGTGGGCTGAGGGCCTCTGTGGGCGCGCTTGGGGCCTCCGTGTGCTGCGTTGGGGGCCTCAGTGGGTAGCGCGCGAGGGCCTCCGTCGGCGCGCTTGGCGCCTCTGTGGGCGCGCTTGGGGTCTCTGCGGCCTGCATCCGAGGGCCTCAGTGGACAGTGCGCAAGGGCTTCCGTGGGCGCGCTTGGGGCCTGTGTGGGCGTGCTTGGGGTCTCTGTGGGCTGTGTTGGGGGGCCTCAATGGGCAGCGCGCGGGGACCTCCGTGGACGCGCTTGGCGACTGTGTGGGCGCGCTTGGGGCCTCTGCGGCCTGTGTCCAAGGGCTTCAGTGGGCAGCGCGCTAGGGCTTCAGTGGGCGCGCTTGGGGCTTCTGTGGGCTGGGGCATCTGTGGGCTGCGTTGGGGGCCTCAGTGGGCAACGCGCGGGGGCCTCCGTGGGCGCGTTTGGGGCCTCTGCGGGCTTCGCCGGGAGCCTCCGTGGGCAGCGTGCTGGAGTTTTTGTGGGCGCGCTTGGGGCCTGTGGGCTGTGCCGAAGGGCCTGCGGGCAGCGTGCCACGGCCTCAGTGGGTTTACTCTGGGCCTCGGTGGGCTGCGTCGGGGGTTTTAGTGGGCAGCGCGCTGGGGCATCCGTAGGCGCGCTTGGGGCCTGTGGGCTGGAGTATATGTGGGTGCGATTGGGACAGCTGCGGGCTGCGCCGAGGGCCTGAGTGAGCAGCGTGCTGGAGGCTCCGTAGGCGAACGGGGGCCTCTGTGGGCTGTGTCCGAGGGCCTCAATGGGCAGCGTGCTGGAGCCCGTGGGCGCGCTTGGTGCTTCTGTGGGCTGCGCTCGAAGGCCTGAGTGGGCAGCGTGCTGGGGCCTCCGTGGTTCGGGGACCTCTCTGGCCAAGGCGTCTAAGAGTAAATTGCGCGGGGCGTGTCAAACGGGAGCCGCTGTCGTCGCAGGTGGGCCTCCAGCGCCGCTACTGAATTGCGGTCTCTGGCCAGGGGGTCTCGATGTACAGCTTGAGGAAATATCAAAAGGGAGTCCTTGTCGTCGTGGCTGGGCCTCCACCAATTTGATTGAATTGCGGGAACGTCTCGGACGAAAGCGCCGCTCTTGAGTTCGAGGACCTCTCTGGCCAGTGCTCTCGGACTACATCTTGAGAAATATCGAGCGGGAGCCCTTGTCGCCGTGTCTGGGCCTCCAACAACTTGCCTAAATTACGAGAAAGCTCGAACGAAAGCGCAGCTCGTGAGTTCGAGGGCCTCCCTGGCCAGTGCTCTCGGCCTAGATCGCGAGCAAAGATCGAGAGGGAGCCTTTGTTGCGTGGCTGGGCCTCCGCCAACTTGACTGGATTTGAAGGAAGTCTTCAAGCGAGAGCGCCGTTCCTGAGCTCGAGGGCCTCTCTGGCCAAGGTGCCTCGGGGTATACTGTAAGGAGGTATCGGGCGGGAGCACTTGTCGTCGTGGCTGGGCCTCCGCCAACTTGGCTAACTTGCGGGGAAGTCTCAAACGAAAGCACCGTTCGTGAGTTCGGGGTCCTCTCTGTAAGTAATGATCCAAATCTCTTCACCCACAACCTCTTGATGCAAGAAGAAATAGATAGAGTATGATCTGATATTATACCTAATCAAACTAGACAGTCGTTGAGTGCGTCCACCCTCCCGCCACAGCTGGCGGGCCCACAGCCAAAACGGCCGCGGTGAACAAGCGAGCGCAAGCATGAGCGAGCGAGAGCAGCAGCAGAGATAATTCGAATTATCATCCTATATCTCACATCCCTGCCAATACAACTTTCACACAGGAAAAGGAAACGTTGCTAAAGAATTCCTTGACAAATTCTGCAGCAAGCTTCTAGAATACTCAATACTATTATCGGCTCGAACGGTCGAGCTACCGTCCGCACACCGAGCAACAGATATCAAGATAACAGAGATCCGCGCACTGAGCAAAACATATTAAGGTATGAATATTTACCTGAGGTCTGCGCACCGAGCAACAGATATCAAGATATATATTAAAAAAAAAAAAAAACAAAAAAAAAAAAAAAAAAAAAAAAAAAAAAAAAAAAAAAAAAAAAAAAAAAAAAAAAAAAAAAAAACCTGAGCACTTGAGGGGGTGATTTCACTCATCATTTGTAGATAGTACTCCAAATCACTCATCATCTGTAAATGGTAATCCAAATCACTCATCACCCCCACCGCCGTTCACATCTGAGCCACTGCCATGGCTGGCTCAAAGATATCGTCACAGATGTGGTAGTGGGGTTCAGCGTACACGCACTGCTGACTTGATGATGCTGTATGCAATGTAGCTCTTGATGCTTGGGTCGAGGTTATAACTCCTGCTCTCCTCTGCGTCCAGCTTGAGACACCGTCCGAGGCAATTTGCGTAGTGCCTGTCCTTCGTATAGATCGTCTCGTAGCTGTCGCCCTCGTACTTGCCACTCCTGATTATCGTCGGTCCCATGGTCTCCAGCCACTGCCTCAGTAGAGCACGATCTCCCAGCATGATTGGTCCATCTCCCATGATCTCGTCATCGTAGGTCTCTGGCTCAGCTCGTACTGCTAGTGTTGTCGTCGTAGCTTTCGGCGTAGCCTTCGCCGTCCTGGATTTGACCTTGACCGGCTTCTCGGGCAACTCCGGCTTGAACAGGTTGTCGCTGCTTGAACTCCCCACCTGCATTGGCTCAGCGGTGTCCTCGTCGTCGTTCTGCTTAGGCTGCATTGCGTAGATGAATATGATGATACCCGCGATGATAAAGACTACTGTCACCACCGTAGGAGACATCGAAAGACAAACTCCATACACTGCAAGTGCACAAAGTTGAAACAGAACTACAACTTGGTCAGGTATCTGGATGGTTCTCTGCGCGCCACTCCTCTCCAGCGGGCAGTTGTCCGTTAGCTCTTCCGTGTTGAATGCCTCGACGTAGTCCTCGTCTTGAACTTCGCCCTTGTCGTCGTAGAAGCACTCCTTCACGTAGTTGTACGTCTCCACTGGCCACGTAGAGATCTCCTCGTCGTCCTTCCCGGTGTCGTCGCACAGCTCCTGCTTGACGTACTTGGCCATCTTCGCGTTCAGCTCGTCTACCTCATTGTTGGCTGCCACCTTCTCTGGTCCAACAAGCTTTCGTCCGCGCATTGATGGTGCCCTGTCATCAGGCCCAAGAGTCCACAAATTTGATGTGACTATCTTCCTCGCGTAGCCTCCTGGAAGTACTTTCGTCAAACAGTCCGCTAGCATCTGCTCGCTCTTGACCCACTTGATGCTGACCTCCTTGAGTGACTGCCGCAATATAGCCGCTTCCAGAGAAAGCCTCCTGTCCGTCATTGAGATCGTCTCCTTTGTGATCGTGTCGTATAGGCTCTTGCAGTCGGTCACCGAAATGAATTTCACCGGGCAGGTGTAGTGCACAATCTCGGTCATGTCCATCTCCGGGTACAGGATCTCCGCCAAGGTCGACATCGTCCATATCAACATGTCCACCGAATCCGCACATGAGTAGGCCTCCGCTGATAGAGTAGATCGCACCACTCGTTGAATCTTGGAGGACTGCCACCCAATGCAGTGTACCTTGTACTTGTTGCTGTGGTCCTCGTTGATCCTCTGGTCGCCCAGCATGATGAAGTGTCCGCGTTGTGATCTGTGCTTCGGCAGATTGTCGACAGCACTGTCGGTGACATTGATCACCATGGTCTTCTACAGGTTCAGGCCTGCTGAGAACCTAATCAGCAAGTCGGTCCGCTTCTGGATCCGCCTGATGGACGCGTTGCCGTCCGGTAGGTCCTTCACGGTCGGAGCTCCCAGCGTAGATGCCCGTCGGGATGCCTCGAAGGCCTCCTCGAAGCATATCACTCGCGCAGCCCATTGCAGTTGTCCAACTACCATTCGTAGTCCACGATGCTCTGCATGGGTCAAGGCGCTATCTGGTGCCTTGCTGCGCTCTCTGGAGATACGTACACTCTGCATCGACT